AAATGTCCCCAAATCTCTCAAATGTCCTCAAATCCCTCAAATGTCCCCAATGGCCCCAATGTCTCCAAATGTCCCCAAATCCCTTAAATGTCCCCAGTCCCCCCAATGTCCCCAATGCCACCCTTGTCATCTCACTGTCCCCAATGTCCCCAGTCCCTTTAATGTCCCCAATGTCCCCAGTGATGTCCCCGTTGTCCTCAGCATGCCCTGGATGTCCCCAATGTCCCCAACCTCCCAAATGTCCCTGATGTCCCCTCGCTGTCCCCAATGTCCCTCAGTGTCCCCAATCCCCTCAGTGTCCCCAATGCCCTCAATGTCCCCAATGCCACCATTGTCACCTCGGTGTCCCCAATGCCCTCAATGTCCCCAATGCCACCATTGTCCCCTCGATGTCCCCAATGCCCTCAATGTGTCCCACCTCATGGGTGAGTCACCAGTGTCCCCAATGGTGCCCCACTTCCTGGGTGAGTGCTGGCCCCAAATGTCACCAATGTCCCCAAGGGTGTCCCATCTCCTGGGTGAGTGCTGGCCCCAAATGTCACCAATGTCCCCAAGGGTGTCCCATCTCCTGGATGAGTGCTGGCCCCAGTGTCCCCAAATGCCCCCAAATGTCCCCAGTGTCACCAAGGGTGCCCCACCTCATGGGTGAGTCGCGTCCCCAAATGTCACCAGTGTCCCCAAATGTCCCCAGAGTGTCCCCAAGGTGTCCCACCTCATGGGTGAGTCACTAGTGTCCCCAGTGTCCCCAATGGTGTCCCACCTCCTGGGTGAGTGCTGGCCCCAAATGTCACCAATGTCCCCAAGGTGTCCCCTGGGGTGTCCCATCTCCTGGATGAGTGCTGGCCCCAGTGTCCCCAAATGTCCCCAAATGTCCCCAGTGTCACCAGTGTCACCAAGGGTGCCCCACCTCCTGGGTGAGAGCTGGCCCCCAAATGTCCCCAGAGCGTCCCCAAGGTGTCCCACCTCATGGGTGAGTCACTAGTGTCACCAGTGTCCCCAATGTCCCCAAGGCTGGTCCCAAATGTCACCAATGTCCCCAAGGGTGTCCCATCTCCTGGATGAGTGCTGGCCCCAGTGTCCCCAAATGTCCCCAGTGTCACTAGTGTCACCAAGGGTGCCCCACCTCATGGGTGAGTCGCGTCCCCAAATGTCACCAGTGTCCCCAAATGTCTCCAGAGTGTCCCCAAGGTGTCCCACCTCATGGGTGAGTCACTAGTGTCACCAGTGTCCCCAATGTCCCCAAGGGTGCCCCACTTCCTGGGTGAGTGCTGGCCCCAGTGTCCCCAAATGTTCCCAGTGTCCCCAAACCATCCAATGTCCCCAAATGTCCCCAAGCCCTCCCCTGAGTGTCCCCGCTGTCCCCTGTGTCCCCAGACTTCCAGCGGTGCCAGCGCGCCATGGCCGCCCGCGGGGCCGACGCCGGCCCGTGCCAGTGGTACCTGCGCGTCTACAAATCCCTGTGCCCCACCTCGTGGGTGAGTGACGTCACCAGTGTCCCCAAATGTCCCCAAATGTCCCCAATGTCCCCAGTGTCCCCAGTGTCACCAAGGGTGCCCCACCTCGTGGGTGAGTCACGTCACCAGTGTCCCCAAATCTCCCCAGTGTCCCCAGTGTCACCAAGGGTGCCCCACCTCCTGGGTGAGTGCTGGCCCCAAATGTCACCAATGTCCCCAAGGGTGTCCCACTTCCTGGGTGAGTGCTGGCCCCAGTGTCCCCAAATGTCCCCAAGTGTCCCCAGTGTCACCAGTGTCACCAAGGGTGCCCCACCTCCTGGGTGAGAGCTGGCCCCCAAATGTCCCCAGAGTGTCCCCAAGGTGTCCCACCTCATGGGTGAGTCACTAGTGTCCCCAGTGTCCCCAATGGTGTCCCACCTCCTGGGTGAGTGCTGGCCCCAAATGTCACCAATGTCCCCAAGGGTGGTGTCCCCTCAATGTCCCCAGTGTCCCCAAGCCCTGCTGTGTCCCCAGTGTCCCCTCAATGTCCCCAGTGTCCCCAAGCCCTGCTGTGTCCCCAGTGTCCCCTCAATGTCCCCAGTGTCCCCAAGCCCTGCTGTGTCCCCAGTGTCCCCTCAATGTCCCCAGTGTCCCCAAGCCCTGCTGTGTCCCCAGTGTCCCCTCAATGTCCCCAGTGTCCCCAAGCCCTGCTGTGTCCCCAGTGTCCCCTCAATGTCCCCAGTGTCCCCAAGCCCTGCTGTGTCCCCAGTGTCCCCTCAATGTCCCCAGTGTCCCCAAGCCCTGCTGTGTCCCCAGTGTCCCCTCAATGTCCCCAGTGTCCCCAAGCCCTGCTGTGTCCCCAGTGTCCCCTCAATGTCCCCAGTGTCCCCAAGCCCTGCTGTGTCCCCAGTGTCCCCTCAATGTCCCCAGTGTCCCCAAGCCCTGCTGTGTCCCCAGTGTCCCCTCAATGTCCCCAGTGTCCCCAAGCCCTGCTGTGTCCCCAGTGTCCCCTCAATGTCCCCAGTGTCCCCAAGCCCTGCTGTGTCCCCAGTGTCCCCTCAATGTCCCCAGTGTCCCCAAGCCCTGCTGTGTCCCCAGTGTCCCCTCAATGTCCCCAGTGTCCCCAAGCCCTGCTGTGTCCCCAGTGTCCCCTCAATGTCCCCAGTGTCCCCAAGCCCTGCTGTGTCCCCAGTGTCCCCTCAATGTCCCCAACTGTCCCCAGGTGACGGCGTGGGACGAGGCCCGTGAGGAGGGGATCTTCCCCGGCAAGATCTGAGCGTCCCCAGCGCGGTGACATCGGGGACGGGGCACGGGGAGGGCTGGGGACATGGCTGTCACCCCCCGGGGACACGGCTGTCACCCCCCCAGGGGACACGGCTGTCACCCCCCCGGGGGACACGCGGTGGCACCGCCAATAAAGGGTTAAAAACTGGGCCTGGTCCTCCGGTTCTGGGGACACTTGGGGGGAATTTGGGGACAATCTGGGGACATTTAGGAACTTTGGGGACAATTTGGGGACATTTAGGGACAATTTGGGCACAATTTGGGGGGATTTGGGGATAATCTGGGGACAATTTGGGGGTGTTTTGGGACATTTGGGGACACTTGGGCACATCTGGGGGGATTTGGGGAAATTTGGGAACAATTTGGGGGGATTTGGGGACATTTGGGATCCTCTGGGGACATCTGGGGACATTTGGGGACAGTGGAATTCACCACATTTGGGACCCTCTGGGGTCATTCGTGACCCCCCCAATGTCACCTGGCACCCCCAAATGTCACTTGAGAGCCTTCCAGTGTCACCTGGGACCCCCAAAATGTCACCTGGGACCCCCCAATGACACCTGGCCCCCCCCAGTGCCACCTAAAACACCCAAAATGTCACCTGAGACCCCCCCCCAGTGTCACCTGGGACCCCCCCAATGTCACCTGGCACCCCCAAATGTCACTTGAGAGCCTTCCAGTGTCACCTGGGACCCCCAAAATGTCACCTGGGATCCCCTCAATGACACCTGGCCCCCCCCAGTGCCACCTAAAACACCCAAAATGTCACCTGAGACCCCCCCCAAGGCCATTGTCATCATCATGACCATCATTATCATCATTATCATCATCGTCATCGTCATCATCCCATCATCATCATCATCTTCATCATCGTCATCATCGTCATCGTCATCATCCCATCATGATCACCATCTTCATCATCCCACCCCATCATCATCATCATCATCCCATCATCATCATCATCCCTGCAGTCTCAGAATTATCAATTTCATCCACCAGCTGCTGACATTGATGGGAAGGAGTCCTGGATTCCTGCCTGAGCTGGCTGGCAGGAAAATCTGAAGGAAAAGAGAGAGCTTGGAAACTGACAGGCAGTGGTAAAGATGTCCCCAGCCGGGGAAGGGGAAGAGAGATCCTGAAGAAAGACATTTTTAAAATGTTCTGCTTGAGATCTTCCATTAATTTCTTTAGAACAAACATTTGATTTTTCCATATATCATTTTCCAATCATTAACTCCCTGGTTTTGGACAATCAACATCCATCAAATGCATCTCCTTTCTCAAGGGGAGGCCTACAGGAGGGGGATTTGGTTATTAATTTCTCCTGCCTTAGCTATGCTCCTCTTCTAAGACCCCCCCCCAGGGTCACCTGGGACCCCCCAAATCCCCCCAGTTTAACCCTATGGGTAGACCTGGTGTCCCCACACCTGGGACCCCTCCCCAACCCCCACAGCTGCCCCCCAAAATATTGGGGACCCCCCCAGCAGCCCTGGGTGACACCTCCAGGGACCCCCAAACATCGGGACACCCCCTGGGACATTTGGGACCCCCAAAAAAACTTTCAGGGACCCCCAAAAAACCCCTCAGGGACCCCAAATCCCCCCATAGGAGTCTGTGGGTAGACCTGGTGTCCCCCCACACCTGGGACCCTCCCAGTTTATCCCAGTTTGTCCCAGTCCCTCCCACTCCCTCCCAGTTTGTCCCAGCCCCCCCCAGTCCCTCCCAGTGACACCAGTGACCCCCAGGTGACACCAGTGGCTTTATTGTCCCCAGCCCAGCCCAGGTCACGGCCCCAGGAGGGCCCCGGGCACCACCGGGGCTCCCAGTGCTCCCAGTGCTCCTCCCACCGGGGCTCCCAGTGCTCCCAGTGGCCCCCCCGCGGCTCCTCCCAGTGCTCCCAGTGGCCCCCCCAGGGCTCCTCCCAGTGGAGCTCCCAGTCCCCCTCCCAGTCCTCCCAGTCCGCCCAGTGGGGCTCCCAGTGCTCCCAGTGCTCCCAGTGGAGCTCCGAGGGGTCTTCCCAGTGCTCCCAGTGGAGCTCCGAGGGGTCTGCCCAGTGCTCCCAGTGGGGCTCCCAGTGCTCCCAGTGGCTCCAGCAGGCGACCTGGGGGGACACAGGCTGGGGTCACTCTGAGGCCACCGTGGTTGTGGTCATCGTCATCTTCATCATCCCGTCATCACCATCATCATCATCATCCCATCATCATCATGACTATCATCATCATCATCGTCGTCATTGTCAGCATCCCATCATCGTCATCGTCATCCCATCGTCATCATCATGACCATCATTATCATCATTATCATCATCGTTATCGTCATCATCCCATCATGATCACCATCTTCATCATCCCACCCCATCATCATCATCATCATCATCCCATCATCATCATGACCATCATCATCATCATCGTCGTCATCGTCATCATCCCATCATCATCACCATCTTCATCATCCCAGCCCATCATCATCATCATCATCCCATCATCATCATCACCGTCATTATCATCATCACCCCACCACCAGCATCATCTCACCACCATCATTGTCATCGTCATCATTCCACCACCATCATCATCATCTTCATCATCCCACCCCACCATCATCATCTTCATCATCCCATCCGGTCATCATCATCCCATCATCATTGTCATCATCATCATCATCCCATCTTCATCCCACCGCCCCATCATCATCATCCTTGTCATCTTCATCCCACCACCACCGCCATCTTCATCGTCATCCTTGTCATCTTCATCCCATCATCATCATCCCACCCCCACCATCATCATCTTCATCATCCTGCCACCATCATCATCGTCATTGTCTTCATCCCACCATCCCCATCCTCATTGTCAACCCCATCCTCATCATCACCTTCCTCCCTTCCCCATCATCACCTTCCTCCCATCCTCATCGTCACCTTCACCCCGTGCCCATCCTCGTCGTCACCTTCATCCCATCACCATCCTCATCGTCACCTTCCTCCCCTCCCATCCCCATCGTCACCTTCCTCCCGTCCCCTCCTCATCCTCGCCCCTCACCTGAGTGCAGCTCCCGGGGGTTCCGGGGGGCGGCGCCGGCGGCCGGGGCAGAGCGGGGCGCTGCGGGGACAGCGGGGTCACCACGGGGACACCAAGGGGGGACAGCGGGGTCACCAAGGGGGGACAGCGGGGTCACCAAGGGGACACGGTGGGGCACCAAGGGGGGACAGCGGGGTCACCAAGGGGACACGGTGGGGCACCAAGGGGGGACAGCGGGGTCACCAAGGGGACACGGTGGGGCACCAAGGGGGGACAGCGGGGTCACCAAGGGGACACGGTGGGGCACCAAGGGGGGACAGCGGGGTCACCAAGGGGACACGGTGGGGCACCAAGGGGGGACAGCGGGGTCACCAAGGGGACACGGTGGGGCACCAAGGGGGGACAGCGGGGTCACCAAGGGGACACGGTGGGGCACCAAGGGGGGACAGCGGGGTCACCAAGGGGACACGGTGGGGCACCAAGGGGGGACAGCGGGGTCACCAAGGGGACACGGTGGGGCACCAAGGGGGGACAGCGGGGTCACCAAGGGGACACGGTGGGGCACCAAGGGGGGACAGCGGGGTCACCAAGGGGACACGGTGGGGCACCAAGGGGGGACAGCGGGGTCACCAAGGGGACACGGTGGGGCACCAAGGGGGGACAGCGGGGTCACCAAGGGGACACGGTGGGGCACCAAGGGGGGACAGCGGGGTCACCAAGGGGACACGGTGGGGCACCAAGGGGGGACAGCGGGGTCACCAAGGGGACACGGTGGGGCACCAAGGGGGGACAGCGGGGTCACCAAGGGGACACGGTGGGGCACCAAGGGGGGACAGCGGGGTCACCAAGGGGACACGGTGGGGCACCAAGGGGGGACAGCGGGGTCACCAAGGGGACACGGTGGGGCACCAAGGGGGGACAGCGGGGTCACCAAGGGGACACGGTGGGGCACCAAGGGGGGACAGCGGGGTCACCAAGGGGACACGGTGGGGCACCAAGGGGGGACAGCGGGGTCACCAAGGGGACACGGTGGGGCACCAAGGGGGGACAGCGGGGTCACCAAGGGGACACGGTGGGGCACCAAGGGGGGACAGCGGGGTCACCAAGGGGACACGGTGGGGCACCAAGGGGGGACAGCGGGGTCACCAAGGGGACACGGTGGGGCACCAAGGGGGGACAGCGGGGTCACCAAGGGGACACGGTGGGGCACCAAGGGGGGACAGCGGGGTCACCAAGGGGACACGGTGGGGCACCAAGGGGGGACAGCGGGGTCACCAAGGGGACACGGTGGGGCACCAAGGGGGGACAGCGGGGTCACCAAGGGGACACGGTGGGGCACCAAGGGGGGACAGCGGGGTCACCAAGGGGACACGGTGGGGCACCAAGGGGGGACAGCGGGGTCACCAAGGGGACACGGTGGGGCACCAAGGGGGGACAGCGGGGTCACCAAGGGGACACGGTGGGGCACCAAGGGGGGACAGCGGGGTCACCAAGGGGACACGGTGGGGCACCAAGGGGGGACAGCGGGGTCACCAAGGGGACACGGTGGGGCACCAAGGGGGGACAGCGGGGTCACCAAGGGGACACGGTGGGGCACCAAGGGGGGACAGCGGGGTCACCAAGGGGACACGGTGGGGCACCAAGGGGGGACAGCGGGGTCACCAAGGGGACACGGTGGGGCACCAAGGGGGGACAGCGGGGTCACCAAGGGGACACGGTGGGGCACCAAGGGGGGACAGCGGGGTCACCAAGGGGACACGGTGGGGCACCAAGGGGGGACAGCGGGGTCACCAAGGGGACACGGTGGGGCACCAAGGGGGGACAGCGGGGTCACCAAGGGGACACGGTGGGGCACCAAGGGGGGACAGCGGGGTCACCACGGAGACATGGGGGACAGCGGGGTCACCAAGGGGACACGGTGGGGCACCAAGGGGGGACACCAAGGGGGGACACAGGGGGACACGGGGGTCAGGGGTGGACACAGGGATGGACACAGAGATTACAGATGGACAAAAAGGTCATGGGTGGACACAGGATGGACACAGGGGTCATGGGTGGACATGAGAAGGTCAAGAATGGACACGGGGATGGACACAGAGGTCAAGGATGGACATGAGGATGGACACAGA